GACCACTTCGCCTGGGCCCGGATTCTCGTGCCGGATAGTTTGCCTCGAACGGTCCCAAGTGGTGTTGCTGATAGTGCTTCGGCCTGGCGAGGGCCCCCCGAAGCCAAAATCGGCGAACAATTTCAGTCCCGACTTTGTTCCGCACGTCGGAGGTCTGGACGTCGCAACCCGCCACGTGCCGCAGCTCCCACACATGGACATTATATTCGAACCCTGTGTCCCAAGATGCCCCCCAGACCCTCCGAAATTGATATTGATGGCGTGAGGACGGGGGGGGCAAATCCCAAAGCACCCTTTTACTGAGATCAACATTGATATCGGGGGCGTGGGGGTGATTTATTGTCCAAATCTCCTGTCCAACTACTGTTCGAATCTATTGTCCAACTACTGTTTGAATGTGTAAGGGTTCGAATCTATTGTCCATCTACTGTCCCGCGTTCACGCGCAGGAGGACCCAGCCGCCAAGCCGGCGCACCGCAGTCGCTGCTGCTGGTGCCCCTTCCTGCCGAACCAGGGGCGGCCGCACCATCGGCCGGCGACCGCGTCGCCAGCGACGGTGCAGAGGGGCAAGGCGAAGGCGTGGCTCGCGGAGGAGCTCTCAATCGGCGGCGAGCGAGGGTCGGGTATAGCCAGGACCCCAGGTAAGGGGACCCGGTTCGTAGTAGGGCCCCAGAGCCCCTAAATTAGCCAGAATCTCTAAACCAGGTCTGCCGTAGTTGGTGTTTTTTCGGGTGACGGCAGTTCTGGCTAGTGGAACGGGGCGGGGGTTGCGTCCCCCAGTTCACAGCACTAAACCAGGTCCTGCGCAACCCAGTTCTGCCAACGCCCGAGAGGGGGGTAAATGAGAAGGCGAAGGCCTTCTCAGAGGGCGTTGGGACTTCTCAGAAGCCCTCGCACCTTCCCAGAGAAGTTTTCTGGGTCTTCGGGGAAGGCTCAGAAAACTTCTCAGGAGGCCGGGGGACTTCCGAGCCTTCTGAGTAGGCCTTATCCTTCTCATTTCCCCCTCCTCGCTTGCCTCCAACTCAAGCAGTGGCGAAGCGTCCTGGCTCGCCTATACGATAGGCACACCAAAGACTGTTCTGAGGACCCTTTGTGGTTTGCGCGATATGTTCTTTGAGCACTTCTGGCTGAGACTGTCCTGTGTTTAACACATCGGGTCTATGTTCTAAGAACATTGCTTTGATTATTCGAGTACTCTTGGGTTCTAAGCACATGTCTCAGGAGGGAAACCACACACAGACACAATGAACCGTCGACTCCCAGGAACATATGCGAAAATATGGTAAGTGGGGGGGAAGACGAAAATCCCAAAAATGTCGAAAAAACAGTGGAATCCTGTTATTTGTGTCTATTTATTTGTATGTCCCTGGGGCGCCTAGAGGAAAGCCGTGACGGCCGGTCCCTGCCCAAAACTCAGCCTCTGACGGTGGCCATTCCGTGGGCGCCTTTCGGGGATCCCCCTGTCGGGTGTTGCTAGAAGTGCCCCTGGCCCAAGGTGCCCCCAGATTTTCGCTCCATCTTGAAGCCCCTGGGGCCCTCTGGGCCTCGTGAGGGGTGCTTTGGAGGCCGCTTGGGCCACCCCGAGAATCCTAGGGGCATGTTGGCCCAGGGGCACTTCTAGCAACACCCGACCCTGGGGTCCCAGACCCCCTTGGCTGCGTGTTCACTGGCTCGGCGTCGCCCCAACATGCTCATACGATGTGCGCGTCGCCCCCCCCCCCCCCCCCCCCCGGAGCGGCCCGCGCACCGAGAAGTCTTACAGTACATGCGTCGTGGCGGGCGCTTTCTGGCCACACCGCTCGAGAGACAGCATCTTACAAGATGGGTGTACTACATGCTCGGGTCGGACGCGCGCCTCCGAAGAGGACGTGTAGTACCAGCATATGTTTCTGTGCGTCCCATCGACCCCTAACCCACAAAAACATGACTGCCCATGTTCAATCGGAGGTTGGGGGTGAGATCGCAGTGAAACGGAGACCCCCCACCGGGAAATCGGTTTCGTGTTCGTGTCGTGCGTGCGGGCGAGGCGAAGTTGCGCGTGATCCTCCTGTAGCTAGGCCGAAGTAGGAGCGAAAGTCCGTTCCCGTCCGCCGGTGGCTGGGAGGTGTCCCAGTTGGGCCGGGCGGTGTCCCGGGTGGAGCGAAAGTCCTTTTCCGTCCGCCGGTGGCCGGGAGGTGTCCCAGTCGGGCCGGGCGGTGTCCCGGGTGTCCCGGGTGTCCCGGGCGTCCCGGCGCTAACGCATGTCGCTAATTTCATAATTCATTTTTTTCGGCGCCTGCGGCGGGCTTTCTTAGCCAATACAGCTTATATGATCCAATCTATCTTGTCCAATCCAATCAATCTTATCTTATCCAAGCCATCTTGTCCCATCGTATCTCATCCCACCCAATCCAATCCACCCAACCCAATCCATGAATTCATTTTGTTCTTCGCCTGCGGCGGGCCAATCCAATCCATCTTATCATATCCTATCCATGTATTCCAATCCAACCCGTCTTATCATATCCAATCCATCTGATCCAATACATCTTATCTTATATTATCCAACCCATCTCATCTTACCATTTAAACCGATAGGTCGGTCGACGGATAGGTAGATAAGGGGATCTCATCGTCATCGCGATCATCATTGTGGTGGAGGGAGACTCTGATAGAGAGGGAGAAAGAGAGAGAGAGAGAGAGAGAGGGCGAGAGAGAGAGAGACACAGAGAGTGAGAGAGAGAGAGAGAGAGAACGAGAGAGATGAAATCAAGGTGACAGGCTGGAGGTCAGTCAGGGTGGGCATTTGATCTCAATCCCCCCCAAACCTATTTATCGCCCGCAGGGCGGCCGTATAGGTAGGTACGACGCTCCGTCTCTATATGGTTGACCGTGAGCCACGTCTACATCGCAGATCGGGGGGGGGGGCTTGGAAGGGCCGCGCCGCTCATTGACAAGCACCTTGCCCGATTTGTGGCCGCCGTGGTATTCGCGGCGACCGCGGACACCACGCAACGATCCTTCGCGCCATGACAGAGCTCGCTTGGCATCGCTCAGGCGTGTGCTTTTTTTCGTCGGCGAGGGCCATCGAGAAGCACCTTGAACAAATGCACGTGGAATTGCACGTCCGAGCGCTGGCGAGATCCCGACGGCAGGCTTTGTTGGAAGCAATTGCGGCCTACGGACGCCCTCGCCCCAGAAAGCGGCTGAGGGACGGCACAGGAGGCACAGCCAGCCCCGGCCGCCGCAGGGAAGGGCTCGGACGCCCGGAGGCCACCGTCCTTGCCCTCGAGATAGGCCCCAAGGATCCAGGAGGTGTGGCAGCGATGGATTCGTTACTGGAATGGCTCAAATGTCTCCCAGCCCGGCCCCGGCACCACTTCAGAATGAGCCGGTTTTGGTCGTCGGCCAGGCCTGGGCTCACAGGTGCCCCGCCAGCGATAGCAGAAAGTCCGAGGGCCCACGTCAGCTAGCATCGCGTCCATGCTGGGCATCGGATGGGGGCCGCTCAAGCCCCTGCGCTGGACCGACCCCGAGGATTTCGACTGTTTGCTAGACATCGACAGTTTAGAATCGCCATCATCCGCTTTTAAAGCGAATTTGACCCAGCCAGAGTTCACTAGCAGCAACCTGAATCAGCGCCGAAATCAACTTGTCGTCCGGAGCTCGGGCCAGGGCCCAGTTGGCCCGAGTTGCTGAGAAGGAGCTGAGACCCTCACTCACAGGAGCTGGCAGTGCAGGCGCACACCGCGAGCGCGGGAGGCCTCCCAGGAGTTGGGCGCCAGGACCGTGCTATCAACGATTTGGCTGCGAATTGACACTGCGGTTTCTGGCTCAGAGGTTTCACGCTTGCCCCCTGGGCCGCGGCCCCCGACCCCCAAGAGCCCCGCAAGGTCTTGGTTACGTACTGTGAAGGACATGTCCGATGGGGCCACCTTTCCAGCGAGCGGTGGCCCCACTTGGGTCGCGGGTGATGGTTCGGGGCGCCCGCGCAGGGAGGGGCCTGGGGCTCCGCTGGCGCGACGGGCTGGGCTAGCTATTTCAAGAAGCGGGGATGACGTCGATAGACTGATCAACGGGGGCGCGCCCCATCGGCGGAGGCAAGTGCGCGATCAATCGCGCCGAGTCGCAGGCCCCGATCGAGTGCTCGCAGGCCCTCGAGGGACTCGCAAGCTACGCGCGCGAGAGCGCATGTGCGATGAGAGGGCGGCGCAAGTTAGAGCTCGGACTCCGACTGGCCCAGGGCAAAATACATTTGCGGGCGGGTTTGCGCGAGCTTGCCAACCACCTCATCAACAATATTGAGCCGTTCTAAATTGAACCGCCCCCCAGGAAAGGGCAGCGTCTGTAGGGCCCCCCCCGTTCCACGCCGAGGCCGACCAAACAGCAGGCCGCCTCGCTGGTGACAAAGCAGACACATGCCAAATAGAAACAGAGATCTGCGACGCAATCTCGACGCTAGGCCGAGAGTCGGGCGACATCCGACTCCGCAATGCTCAGCGAGGGGCGATTTGCGAAAAGGGCAGCCCTGCCCATACTGCCCCCCCCAAGTATGCCAAAGCCAGCTTACGTGGGAGTCAGATGTTCCAATCAGTTGCGCGTGGAGTTCCTCCATGCTGCTGGATAGGCTTCGCGCAAAACTAGGCACATGCCCTGCTGTTTGTGCAAACAGAGACGAACCGCATGAAATGGCGACCGGTCTCGTGAACGATTGTAGACCCCATGCGTTCAGCGTTCGTAGTGGGCAACCTCCCCCCAGACGGCCAGTTGCGTATCGTCAGCCAGCTTGTTGACCCCACCCGTAATTTGCAGTAGCATGCGCATGTGAAAAGAGTGGGCTTGCCGCGTGGCAGCATCGCCACCGGAGGTGTGATCAGCAAAATAGCCATGCCTTACTCGAACCTACTGCTGAATTCAGGTAAGGCGAAGTTAGATTACCTAGCCAAGGGCACGTGGACATGCCACTCGGTACAAGCCAAAGCTTCCAACGTCGCTTTAAAAACATGGTACCGCGACCCACCTCGCGACCCACCCGCGACCCACCCGCGGCCCAACCCGACGACCCACCCGCGACCCACCCGAGACCCATCCCGCGAAACATCCGCGACCCACGAGCGACTCATTCCGCGCCCCGCCCGCGCTGGGGTTGGGGTGGCGGGGCTCGGGGGGGGGTTCAGAGGCGGTCCATGTGCAGGCTCCAGAGCGGCGGCGGACTGGGCTTCGCTGGGGGCCCGAAGCTGGGACTGCGGACGACGGCTGCGGCAAGCAAGCTCAACCCCCCGTCTCAGACTTCAAGCCTTACGATTCGAAAGAGCGTGTTCTACCGCTGCTGGCGGAAAACCGGGGGGGGTCACTACTGGTTCGAACCCCTCCCCCCCCCCTCCGGAAAACCGGGGGGGGTCACTACCGGTTCGAACCCCTCCCCCCCCCCTCCACAGTTCATCATGAAAAGGGGGGGGGGTCACTACCGGTTCGAACCCCCCCCCTCCCCCCCCCTCCCTCGAAAACCGGGGGGTCACTACCGGTTCGAACCCCCCCCCCCTCGAAAACCGAGGGGGGGGGCGGATAGTGAGGGGGACGGTGGTGGTGGTGGGGACAGTGGTGAGGGGACAGCGGGACAGTGGTGGGGATAGTGGGACAGTGGTGGGGCCGGTAGTGGTGGGGACAGTGGTGAGGACAATGGTGGGAACAGTGGGGACGGTGGACAGTGGTGGGGACGGTGGTGGTGGGGATAGTGGTGTGGGGACAGTGGGAATGAGGTGGAAACAGTGGGACAGTGGAGGGTACAGTGGTGGTGGGGAAAGTGGTGAAGGCGGTGGCGAGGACGGCGGTGGGACAATGGGACAGAGGTACAGTGGGGACAGTGGTGGGGACAGTGGGGACAGTGGTGGGAACAGTGGAACAGTTCAGTGGGACAGCGGAGGAGTCAGTGGGACAGTGGGGACAGTGGGGATAGTCGGGCAGTGGTTGGGGGTGTGGAGAAAGTGGGGAGAGTGGAACCGTGGTGGGAACAGTGGTGGGGACAGTGGGGACAGTGCGACAGTGGTGGGGGCACTGGTGGGGACAATAGGGACGGTGGTGGAACCAGTGGGGACAGTGGTGGTGAGGACAGTGGTGCTGGGAACAACAGTGGGGGATGTGGTGCGGACGGTGGTAGGGACCGGGAGTCGTTTGCTGGCGGTGAGTGGGGGGGGGTGGGGAGGGGTTCGAACCGGTAGTGACCCCCCCTCCGGTTTTCAGGGGGGGGGGGGGGGGGTTCGAACTGGTGTGACCCCCCTCGGTTTTCGAGGGGGGGGGGGGGGAGGGGGAGGGGGGGGTTTTGCCGGGGGAGGGAGGGGGGGGGGTCCAGCAGGGGGGGGGGGATTTTCGGAGGGGGGGGGGAACCCCGGGTTCCGGAGGAAAAGGGCGGCAATTTTCCACAGTAAAGCGGCGGTGCATCACGCTCTCTCTGCGATTCAGACACTGACTCTACAGTTAAGTCGGGCTCTACAGGAGGAATATTCAAAAGTAGTCAAAAATAGTCTGAGGACAATTTATTGACTAGTTTGAGTCTTTTTATGTTTCGTCCAGAATCCGCCTGACGCCCGACCTAAGTCTACAGTGGCAGCCCATGTCAAGAAGCACCCTGCTTGCCTCAAAGATGCCCTGGGTTTCTTGTGTTCCGATGTTTTTGCGATGGAAAGCGCGACGTTCCCACACCAAAAATCCATGGACGTCTTGGGGCCCCAGGGTTGGGTTCTTGTGGAAGGTTTCTTGTGGTCGAGCTCTTACTGTAGCTCACAACACGTCTCCTGAGGGCCCCGGCCCCCCCGCGCGCTGCCCTCGTAGGGCTGGCCCCGCTGGGCCGACATCGCGCGCTCGCCTCGCCTCACCTCGCCAATGCCCGAGCTAGGTCCTGGTGTGACGAGCTCGACGCCGTCGGCGGGCTTCGTCCTGATTTTCCAAGCGATGCTTGTAGCACGGATGTCATGCTTCGACGGTCGGTCCATGTGCAGACATGAGTGCGCAGTGTAGCAGATGCGGGCCTGCCCTCCAGGAAGCCGCCAGCTTTACGCGGGCGCGCCAGGAGACGCGGCAGGCGGGCTGGCAATTGTGCGCTGTCCTTGCGTCTTAACGCCCCTCTCCCGATCACGTTTGAATTATCTGTGGATCTCATGTCACTTCTGTCCAAGATTATGCTCGTCGTCGATGCCGTGTATCATGTTCTGGCTAGTTGCGCCCGACGTGTCCTTTCGCCACTTCGAGTCCCTCCTGGTTTCGACGTACGCACTACCTGGAGAACACATGCTTCGTTCACGGAGCGTGATCATTTCCGTAACGATCATTCTGCAAATGGAGGAGAGGAGGAGTGCGAGTATGAGGAGGAACGGTGAGTAGCATGAGAGCAAGGGAGGAGGGCTTGACACTTTCAAATTTGCAATATCATGCAAAGCACGCCGGTGTATGCTCGCAGCTCGCACTTGTCAAATGGACGAAGAAGAAGAGAAAGAGGGTCATGAGGAGGATGGTTCTGAAACCCAGGGTTGTCTTGAGTCTAGCGCGCGTGGCCCGACGTATGCTTATGGTGGGAAGAGGCGGGTCAGTGGACAGGGGTCAGAGAAAAGAGTCGCGCCAGAGTTGATCGGCGGTTTTCCGCACCTGGAGGCCATCATCGGATCGTATACCGTCAACGAACAACCAGTCTCCGGAGAGGTCCAGGGACCCCGTATCGAATGATTTAGGTCAGGGCATCGGGTTTTTTCGGGGAAAGCAGCAAAGCCGAGAGGGATGGAGGAGTGCCCCCTTCGCGGAGCGGTGAGCTCTGGCCCGTCGCGGATGCTGCATCGCCTCGTCTGGTTGCGATCGAGCCGTCGCCGCCCAGATCTCGTCCTGGTCGCGGCGATCGCCGAGGAGTGAGCGCGCGGTGCTGCGATCGTGACGCGCGCCCAGCCCTATGTGACGCTGCCAGGTCTGCTTTCTCGACGGGCCGATCCTTCCAGCCCCGCAGACGCAGAGCCCCAATGTTCTGACTTCTGCGCAACGTGGGCCCCCAGAGGTCTCGACTCTTCTCCCTGGGACCGGGTTCCCAACCCGGGGCCGTTCTTGGGCGGCCCACGGGGCCCGAGGAGCGCCCCCCCCCAGAGGCCGCCAGCGGCGAGAGGCCTCCCGTGGCGCTGTGCCCACGACGCGAGCAGACTTTGGGCAGGGGTGCGCCACAAAAAAGAATGTGCGCAGACGCCCTCCAATCTATTTGTCCGGGGCGTTAGGCGAGGGTGGCGGTGTATGAATCACCCCTGGGAGCCAGCGGCTTGATACAGCGCCGGCCTCCCTGGAGGTACACGCAGAGTTCGTCGGAGGGTGTCTTTGTATATTCTCATGGCGTGCGGGTGGATTGCGCGCGTGAGCCTCCGGCGCAGCGCGCCCGCGGGCTGCCCGCGGAGGCCGCGATCGACACGGGCGGGGCGCGCCGCGGCTTCTCGCTGGAGCCGAACGGCGACCGGCGCAGGACGCGGCACGGAGCGGCTCGGGGACCGCTGGTCAGAGCCCCGCGATTCTCGGGGCAGGGAGTGGTTGTCCTCCTCCTCCTCCTCCTCCTCCTCCTCCTCCTCCTCTCCTCCTGCTCCTCCTCCCCCTCCTCAGCTCGAACCCCCCGCAGCGGGGCCTCCCCCACGGTTCCCCTGGGGGGACGCCCCAGGCAGGCGCTTGCTGGGTGCGGGGTGCTCGCACACAGGTCTTCCGCAGAGGCTTGTAATCGTCTTGCCCACGGCAGGGGGCCCGCCTCCTGCGCTCTCCTCCTCCTCCTCCTCCTCCTCCTCCTCCTCCTCCTCCCTCCTCATTCTCATCCTCTCCTCCTTCCCTCCTCCTCCCTCTCCTCCTCTCCTCCTCCTCCTCCTCCTCATCCTCCTCCTCCTCCTCCTCCTCCTCCTCCTCCTCCGCCTCCTCCCTCCTCCTCTCCGCCTGACCTCACGGGCGGCGCTGGCCAGCGCTGCTCTGTCGCCGCGCCTCCGCGGCCACATCACATTACAGACGTGCCGCGGGAGGCGCCCCGTGCCCCCACCCGCCGCCCGTAGAGCGGAAGCAGACGTCCGCCAGTGGACGTTCGCTCCTCCTCCTCCTCCTCCTCGTCCTCGTCGCATGGCGGCGCGGACACTGCCGCGCCCCCGGCTGGAGGCCGGCCGCCCACCGCCTCTTCCTCCTCCGCGAAAGGCCCAGGCTGTGGCCGAGCATCGACCACGCTGCCGGGGGCACGTGTGTCAGGAGGGACGAAAGCACACACACAGACGCACATTTTATCGTCGATTCCCAGGAACTATAGGAAGACATGGGAAGTGGGGGGAAGACGGGACCAGAGAAAATATGCGAACATATTGGGAATCTGGTTATGTGTTTGTATTTAGTTGTGTGTCCCAGGGCCCCTTCAATGTGTTGCATGCGTGTGCGAAGTCTGACGCAGCAGCCGCCGAGGGCTCTGCGGCGGGGCTGGCCGCGCCACACGTTCGGGGAACGATCTGACCCCTGAACCGCCCGCCCCGTCCTTGTTTTCCTTCGGCCGCGTCCTCTCGTCGCTCCTCCTCATTGCATGGTGGCGCACTGCGCTCCAAAGAGCACCCCCGCTAAGGCCTCCTCATCGCCAGCGCAGTCACCCCCTGCCTAGCCGCCGACGCAGAAAGTTGCGCATGCGCGTGCGAGATCTGGCGGTTCCTGGCGCACGGCACGGCCAGGGCGGCCGCGAACGCCAGTCCCCGCCGCCGGTGTCACGAGGCCCGTCGGGGGCGGTCCAGGGAGCCGAGTGCGGTGTAGCCGCCCAGGTTTTACGACTTTCTTTCTTGAAGGCCTCGTTATGTGTATGTTGACGCTCCAGGTTCCGTGGGATGTTTGCAGCGGAAGGTCGCGTGTCTGACGGCCCACGTTTGGCCCCAGGCCAACCCGAGTCCCGAGAACTCGAGTTTGAGTGGTCAGGGATGGTTCCTGGCCCAGACCCTCAGTGTTTGCTGATCACGCGATCGAGAGCGGCGACCACATATAGCAGTGAACACGGATTGCGTGATCGCCGGTCACGTTATGGGTTCGGCTTGATCACGCGATCGTCCAAACTGGAATGCGTGATCGGTCCGTGATCGGCGACGTAGCCATCGTGATCGGGGCTGCGACCAGATCCCGTGATGATTGGTGTGATCGGCCGTGCGATTAAGCAAACATTGAGCCCACACCCCCTCGCGACATGGAGCAACCACGACGGAAGGTTATTCCCTATTTTCACCCCCTGGGGGCCCTAACTGGGCCTGGTGGACATACAAAACATATCAGGATGAAAAGCGGTCATAGGGAATGGATCGAGATTTTCGGGGGTCGACGTAGTGAAAACTTTCCCAGAGAAGGACTCGTGAGTTCCGCGTTATGAGCACCGCTTCAGGTGGAGGTCCCTAATGGGGCCCCGATGCGTGTGAAGGTGTGCCAAACTTGGCAGAGAACCGCGAGACATGGGAGGGGTGTGCCGGAATGGTTGTTGCGGACGCGTGCGATTGCAGTCATTGGGATTTTCGGCGGAGGTCATGATAGTGCCGCGAAACGTGTGAGGGGTGTGCCTGAACTGGTGTGCGGACGCATGCGGACGCAATCATTGGAACGTTCGGTGGGGCTCCCTGTAGTGCCACGAAACGTGTGATGAGTGTGCCGACATGGGTGGAGTGGACGCATGCGAACGCAGCCGTTGTGACATTCGGGGGACCTCCTTCTAGGGCCACGACACGTGTGAGGGGTGTGCCGACGAACGAAGTCACTGAGACCTGTGGTGGAGCTCTTTGTAGGGCCACGAGGCGTGTGAGGGTTGTGCCGACATGGGTGGCGCGGACGCATGCGAACGCAGCCACTGGGACCCTCGGTGGTTTTCCCGGTACGGCCACGAAACGTGTGGGGGGGGTGTCGACATGGGTGGGGCGGACGTATGCGAACGCAGCCAGTGGGGTTTTCGGTGAAGTTCCTTGTATGTAAGGCCACGAAACGTATGAGGTGTGTGTGTGTGCGTCTGTCGAAATAGGTGAGGCGGACGCATGCGAACAAAGCCACTTGGACTTGCGGAGGATTCCCCTGTAGGGCCACGGAACGTGTGAGTGGATTGCCGACATGGGTGCAGCGGACGCATGCGAACGCACCAATTTGGATTTGTGGTGGGGCTCCTTGTGGGGCACGAAACGTGTGAGGGGTGTGCCTAACTGGGTGGCGCGATGATGATGCTGATGATGATGACGATGATGATGATGATGATGGTCATGGTGGTGATGATGATGGTGATGATGATGAAAACGGATATGAAGATGAAGATGAAACATAATATGGGTAACATGCTGCTGCTGATGAAAATGAGGCGGATGCGGATGCTGATTTTGATGCTGCTGATGATGATGCCGACGATGACAATGATGATGACGATGATGATGATGATGGTGATTGTGAAAGTGCGCCAGTTGATCTCCTTGAATACACTAAAGAGGGGGGGGGGTCCAGAACCCCCCCCCCCTTCCCCTCCTCCCTTGAAGGGAGAGGGGGGTCCAGACCCCCCCCCCCCCCTTTGCGCTGAAAGGGGGGGGGGGGGTCGGACCCCCCCCTCCCCCCCTTTGCGCAGGAGAGGGGACCAGGGAGGGGGGGCCATTCTCGCTTCTCCTTTCTGCGCCAGAGAAGGTGTGTAGGGAGTACGGAGTTGGGAGTAGGGAGTGGTGATTAGTGAGGGGTAGTGAGTGGCGAGTAGGGAGTAGTGAGTAGGGAGTAGGGAGTGGGGAGTAGTGAGTAGTGAGTAGTAAGTGAGTAGTGAGTAGCGAGTAGTGAGTAGTGAGTAGTGAGTAGCGAGTAGTAAGTAGTGAGTGTTGAGTGGGGAGTAGGGAGTAATGAGTAGTGGGTAGTGAGTAGTGGATAGTGATTAGTGGGTGGAGAGTAGTGATTTGTGCGTAGTGGGTAGTGCGTAGTGCGTAGTGAGTAGTGAGTAGTGAGTAATGAGTAGAGATTAGCGAGTAGTGAGTAGTGAGTAATGAGTAGTGAGTACTGAGTAGTACGTAGTGCGTAGTGAGTAGTGAGTAGTGAGTAGTGATGAATAGAGAGTAGTGGGTAGTGGCAGTGGGTAGAGTGTAGTCAGTAGCGAGTAGTGAGTAGTGAGGATCGAGTAGGGCGTAGTGAGTAGTGAGTAGTGAGTAGAGAATAGGCAGTAGTGAGTAGTGGGTAGTAATCAGTGAGTAACGACTAGGGAGTAGCGACTAGTGAGTAGTGGGTAGTGAGTAGGGGGTAGGGAGTAGAGAGCAGTGAGTAGTAAGGAGAGGGTAGCGAATAGTGAGTAGTGAGTAGCGATTAGTGAGTAGTTAGTAGTGGGTAGTGAGTAGTGAGACGAGTGACCTGTGACTAGTGACTAGTGAATATGTAGTGACTACTGAGTAGGGAGTAGTGAGTAGTGAGTAGCGGGGAGTGAGTAGTGAGTATTGAGTAGCGAGTATGGGAGTAGCGAGTAGTGAGTACTGAGTACTGTGTAGTCAGCATTGTCTAGGGAGTACGGAGTAGCGAGTAGTGGGTAGTGAGTAGTGGATTAGTGGGTAGTGGGTAAAAAGAGGTGGTTCGTGAGTAGTGAGTAGTGAGTAGTGCTTAGTGAGTAGTGAGTCGTGAGTCGTGGGTAGTGAGGAGTGAGTAGTGAGTAGGGAGTAGGGAGGAGGGAGTGGTGAGTAGGGAGTAGTGAGTAGCGAGTAGTGGGTGGTGGGTAGTGAGTAGTGGATAGTAAGTGGGTAGTCGTGAGTAGTGAGTAGGGGTCGTGAGAAGTGAGTAGCAATAGCAAATAGCGAGTAGTCAGTAATGGGTAGTGAGTAATGAGTAGTGAGTGCTCTCAGGGGCTGGGGTTAGTGGTTGTGGTCAGGATTATGGTTTTGTTTTTGGGTTAGGGCGAGGACTAGGGGTAGGGGTGGCGGGGGTCGGGTTCCGGAGTCTGGGGGCGGCGTGGCGAAAGGGGGGAAGGGGGGGGTGCGGCCAAAGGTGGGGAGGGGGGGGTCGGACCCCCCCCCCTTTGAAAGGGGGGACGGGGGGGGGTCCCCGACGACGGATCGAGGAAAGGGGGGGGGGGGGGGGGGACGACGGATCGGGGAAGGGGGGGGGGGGGTCCCCGACGACGGATCGAGGAAGGGGGGGGGTCCCCCCCCCTTGGAGAGATCCAGCGGCGCACCCTCTGTGGATGATTGTGATGGTGATGTTGATGATGAGGATGGTGATGATGATGACGATGACGATGACTATGATGATGAAAATGATGATGATGATAATGATGATGATGATTCTGATGATGACGATGATGATGATGATGATGATGATGATGATGATCATGATCATGATCATGATCATGATGATGATGATGATGATGATGATGATGATGATGATGATGCTGATGATGATGATTTGGATGCTGATGCGGATGCTGACGTTGATGTTGATGATGCTGATGATGATGATGATGATGATGATGATGATGATGATGATGAT